AAAAAAAAAAAAGAAAATTCGAATCGTACGCGTGACTCTACAAGTTATTTTTATTCAATAACTTTAAAAAATGCGCGGTATTACGTATCGCGAAACGATGTACAATGCACACACCTAATGCACACACCTAACGCACACACAAGTGCAATGTACACCGTGCAATYACTAGCACAATGACWGYCGCCAATAGGGGAAAAACTTAAAACTAAACCTATACTAACCGTTTCTCACCCATACGAGTAGCACCTGAGCACACGCACAGATGAGAACGCAGAAAGCATAGGGGGGAGAAACGGGAGATTAGTATATTAGAAGCTGAAAATCCTAATCTAAAAAATATGATTAAAAACACATAAATATATTTTTATATAAATTCATCTAAGCGACTAAGGACTCTACAATTTATTTGATAAATAATATAACTTTTAATATCTTTTAATAACTTTTAATATTTTTTTTTTTTTTTAATATATTTTAAAACCTCGGACGACTACTTTCATTAAGTTGGCCGTTCTAATAAAAGAACTGGGCTTTAAGCCACCACTTAACTGCTAGAATCTATCCGTCGCGAATGAGTTTGTCTTCTTGCTCATTTATTTATAATACCGAAGTATCGATACATCGAAATTTATCGCGATTAGATAAACTAAGTACGAAGCAATGCATGTAAGATATTTATTATATGCTTTTCTGGACGAAAACGAGTAAATTAATGCTCGATTTCACCATTACTAAACGCGAACAAAACACGTAATAAAAAAGGAAGTGCAATAATTAATTGCATTATTATTTAAATGAATTTAACACCGATGAGACAAGAAAACCTATCCTGAACTAATATAAAATATACAATACAATATACAAAATACAATATACAATTTTCATGAGTAACTCCTAGAAAGGAAATTACTCATGTGCTCGTCACTAATTTATTGGAATAATTACAACCAGTAACTCGTGCCGATTAGGACCTTTCATCCTCGACATGATTGAGCACCGGAGGGACTTTAAATTTTTTGACTCACTCCGTAAGAAGTTCTACGATGGCTCCAAAACACTCCTACTTCGCAGCATATGTTGAAGTCTGACGATTGAAGAGTTCCTCGATTTGGTATTGAAGGAGATCCATCGAAAATCCATCGAAGATCCATCGAACATTCACCGAAGATCCATCGAAGATCCATTGATGATCCATCGAAGAATTGATCCCACATCTTCGACGAGGTAGAAAGTCCGTTATCATATCTATAAAATAAAATAGAACAAAATGATAAGTTATATGTAATATGATCCAAAATCATATTAAACAAAAGCGATTAAAATGTTAATAAAAATGAATACTTACAATGTATTCCAATGGGATGAAACTCAATTGCACCATGGCGATGCACCTCGCGTGAATCTAATGACACGGTATAGACGAAAATAAGAAACTATAGATGAGTTTCTTATCGCGAAATCGGAATTAAATTATACGACGAACAACACTGAATCTAATTCATGTTTAATTTTAATTTATTATGCGCCCGATCACTGACTCTACAACTGCTTCCAAAGACTGCTTTGCACRCAGTCAATGYRAKTATMMAAWTCTTCATTGATGCACTGACTCTAATACGCGAACAGTCTGTGCGACTGTTTAAAGATAAAAATTAAACTTTTCTCGAACAAAGTCTAATGCAATTACTGCTTTGGTCGCAGTCAATTTAATATGAAAAATTTCTAATACAATCGCGTAACCCGAACGAGATGCAATTAAGGAACAAACGTGCTTCTAAAATCCGTGATTTTAATTTTATTTAAACGATCAAACACTCCCGTATATTGCTTCGCGCACGTTTGCAATAGTCATCTGAAACAGAAGAAAAAAACAGAACTATTAATATCGCTTTTATAACAAACAAATATTAAAAGAATTGAGAAAATCTTTAATACAAAAATATACTTACTTCGAGTCTTCATTGATGAATGCACGATGGGTCTCCTACCCTTAGGATGACGATGAGCACACGTTTAAACCGAATATAAGAAACTTACGGAGTTTCTTAACCGAGCAAACGAAACTGTCACATACGACGATTAACACTGATTCTACTTTCCGACTTTTTTATATTTTAT